GAGGAGAAAGACACAGAAGAAGAAGAAGAAGAAGAAGAAGAACAATGGGTATTTTCGAAACTTTTTGGGTTACTTTTTGGGTGAGTGTGAAAAGGGGTTGGAACACAATTTGTTGGGTCTTTTGGGGTTAAAGCACATGAGAAAAATTTTAAGGGGTTGGGCCACAAGAGGTTTTTGTTTTTGGGGCCTTGACACGTTTTTTTCCTAAATTCTTGATTTTCGTAGACTATAATCCACAATTAGTCTGTTTTTGTTAGTTTTGATCTAATGACACTTAAACTTTCTTTCTTAAAAAATTGTGATTTTTATGGGTTATATAAACAACATTTTTTATTAATTGTTTTTGACCTATTGAAAAATAAATATGCGTACTACTAAATTCTTTATCTTCATGGGTTGTAATCCTTGATTTGTTTATTTTGTTTGTCACGACTATTAAGCAATAATTTATGATTTTTGTCAATTTTTGTTCTTAGACCCAAAGAAACTAATTTATAGTTTAAAATTCATGATTATTAGGAGCCATAATCCATGATTTTTGTCCTTTTTTCGTTTCCATCGTTTCACACTTAATTGTGCAAACATCAATATTTATGATTTTCATGGGTTATAACCCGCAAATTTAAATTTTTATTATTTGACCTAATAGAAAATAAGTATATGCATATTCAGAAAATTCTTTTTTCCATAGGTTATACTCCATGACTTTTGTCCATTTTGTTCGTTTTGTCCATTTTGCAATTAAGTGTGCAAGCGTAAGTATTTGCAAATTCTCTTTGGCCGCATGTCGTGATTTTTATCCATATCGGACATTCGGCTTAATAGCAATTCATCGTAACTACTTTAAAATTTGGGATTTTGGTGTGTAATAACTCATGATTTTGACAATTTTTTCTTCATCTGCTTCAAAATTTACGATTTTGGTGAGTTAGAACTCCCTATTTTTGCAAGTTTTGTTCGTTTCTTCCAATGACAAATGATTAAATATATTTCAAAATTTGTGATTTTCATGAGATCTAACCCACAATTTGTCTATTTTTGTTAGTTTTGACTTCATGACAATTAAATTTCCTTGATAAAAAATCGTGAATTTCATAGGGTTTGGCCCGTGATCTTTGGTAAATTTTTTCTTCCTCCGAGCAGATGGAAAATAATTATTTTTATAGGCTAGAGTCAATATTTTTTCCCTTTTTATTCATTACAACCATTGGGCAATTTGTTATGCGAACTTCAATATTCGTGATTTTGATGGGCTATAACATTAATTATGGTTACTTAAAATTCGCAATTTGGGTGGGTTATTAACAATTTTTGCTATATTTATCTGTTTCGTCTTTATGGCAAGTAACTATATGTACTTTAAAAATTCGCAATTTTCATGTGCTATATCTCACGATTTTTTTATTTTTGTCAGTTTCAACCAATGACAATTGAAGTTTCTTTCATTAAAAATTGCGATTTTCATGGACTATTAACGTTCAATTTTGTCAATTTCGTTCTTTGACTTCAATGAAAGTAAATACACGTACTTCAAAATTTGTTATCTTTATGGGCTATTCTCTGTGATTTTTGTCCTTTATGTTCCTTTCGGGCATTTAACAAATAACTGTGCAAACTTCAATAGTTATAAGTTTCTTCGGCTATAGACCATGATTTTTTTCTCCATTATCATCCATTCAAGCCAATGACAATTAATAATGACTTGAAATTTGCGATTTTGATAGGCTAGGACTCGCAATTTTGGCAACTTTTGATTGGTTCATCCATATGGCAAGCAATTATTAGGGGTAAGCAAACGGTCGCTTCTGTCGGTTTTTTTACTTTTTTTTAATCAAATCAAACTAGATCGAGCTAGTTTCAAGATCACACTGAACCATGACAAATCAGTTAGGTGTGGTTCGGTGCGGTTTGTTCAGTTTGGGCTTAGAAATGTAAAGTTCGAGGATTTTTAGCTAAAAGACATGACTATTACGCCTTCAAACCTTTCACTTAGCTTATATCCCAAGCGAAGAGAAAACTTATCAAATCAACAATTTTATAAACTAAAATCAAACATTTATCAATTAAGATATATAAAAGTATTAGTATAAAATTATCTATTCACCTCGAACGAGCATGAGTTTTAGGCAATTATGTTGAGAGCAGTCTGTTTGGTTATTTCGGTTTCATATATTTTAGAACGAAAACAAATCAAAGTTTTTCTAAAACCGAACTGAACTGCCCAAAAATTGGTTTGTTCGGTCAATTTAATCTGTTTGAAGCGAATTGTTCTCACTTATGGCAACTATATGTACTTCAAAATTTGTGATTTTCATGAGCTGTAACTTGGGACTACAATCTATTTTTCTTAATTATGACCCAATGTTAATTTGATCTTTTTCATAAAAAATCACGATATTCATAGGCTTTAACCCATGATAGTCAATTTTTGTTATTCAATCCCATGGAAAATAAATATGCGTACTTTAAAATTCATTTTTTTTCCATTTTGTTCATTACGACCATTCAATAATTAATTGTGCAAACTTAATTATTCGCGGTTTGCATAGACTATAAGCCTATAGCCCATGATTTGTCTTATTTCCGTTCATTTGACCAAATGGCAATTAATTATGACTGCTGCAAAATTAATGATTTTTGCATTCTTTGTTTTTTCCTAGGCAAGTTATTATACGTATTTCGGAAGTCACAATTTTCATGGGCTATAACATACAATTTTAGTCTATTTTCGTTTGTTTCAACCTCATGAAAATTAAATTTTATTTCATCAATAATTGTGATTTTCATGGGGTATAATTTTTTATCAATTTTGTTCTTCTTCCCAATGAAAATTAATGTGTACTTTGAAATTCATGTTTTTCAACCAAATCTCAAGCTTCTATCTCGCATAAAATATTTTATGCGTAAAATTCCATAATTTTATGCGTACTCTAAAAATTCAGCTGAGTACGCATAAAATATTGTGTAATGATTTGTGTAATATAACGCATGATTTGATCCATACTTTTATGCATACTTGGCTGATGTGTACTGATATTGGTCGTTTTCAGACAAATCACAAGTCGCCATCTCTTATAGAATATTTAATGCTACTTCAAAATGCCTTAACTTTTGTGCACTATAACCCATGATTTTGGTTGTTTTTTTTATTAAATTATAAATTATTGTTTTGCATAGAATATTTTTTTTTGTACTCTCAAATACTCGAACTACTGTGGACTGTAACCCACGATTTGGCCATTTTCAGCCAAATCACAATTTGTCTTCGTGCATAGAATATTTTTTGGGTGCTATAACTTCTCGAATATTTGTGGACTCTAACCCATGAATTTGTCAGTTTTTGATTACATCGCAAGTTGTCGTCTCGCGTGAAATATGTTATGCGTGCTTCCAAATTCCCGAATTTGTGAGGACTGTAACACTAATTTTGGCCATTTTTCTACCAAATAACAAATTGTCATCATGTATAGAATTATATTATGAGTACTGATGATGCTGATAGTGTTTTTGACACTTTTGAGAAGACAGGTTTAGAATTGACATACACAAAAAAAATTAACTGTGTCCATAATTTGGTCAACCTTAAACCTACTATGGATCTGGTTACACTTGTTTAATTTGTACGGCTTTAGAAGCTGTTAGAGAGTATGCCCTATCTGTTCTTTGAAACGAAAAATGTTTCTTCAGAGCTGTGGTATTAGATGTCCCCTCTGGAGCATATCGAGTTTCATACTGTGTAAAGTCTCGGATAGTGCCTGTTAGCGACGCTATATTGTATAATGGAGAGGGGGAAAAGGTTGTCTGTAAGTCTGTTAGAGGCTTTATGAAATTGGTTAACACTCTCAGGGAAAAGACTGAAAGTTCATATTTCGACTTCGTTATGGATGCATCAATCAGGAATTTGGCGGTGCCACGACGAGCATTTGGCTCTAAGTGTGAGGAGGGCACTAGATCTCATTAAACCCGAAACTTGGTGTGCTTATATCCCACACCTTGCAGATGTTAGCATATTCAGTTTCACGCTACAAGACCTTACCTCATCCTCAAGTTTTAAAAGTGAGGTATATGCATGTCAGAACCTTACCACATCCTCAAATTTCAGTTATATTCACAAAAATTACTCCGGCAGAAACTGAAAATTAAATGGAGTTCATTCAGCAGCACCTCGTTCTTGACAAATCTGGGGGAAGCCCCTTTCTTCTGATCAACGCCTTTCTTCTGATCTTCATGTCATTCTGTTTGTTTTATATTTCATCATCCTTGCCTAAAGCCTCTTTTCAAAATGGGTAGTATGACAGCTCATGAAATAGTAGTGTCAAGATCAACCCTTAGAATAATTCTATATAGGGAAGCTACAAGCCTCCAGACCTCAGTATTTTATGAATCAGAGCACGCACTAAGAGGTGTGATAAAAGGAAAAAAAGAGTGTTGTGATCGTAGGTCAGAAATTACTCCTATTGGGAATAAAATGAGTGAAAATCATGTGCAATAGAGAGCACTAGATGTATCAAGTAGGAGAGGAGACGCGATTTAATGATGAAAGGAAAACTTGAGTTAGGCATAAGAGAATCTGGTTGGAAGCATGTAAGAATATCATGGTAATGATTTACTAGGTGGAGACCGTGGAGTGATAGGCCTTCAACATAGTGGAAGAAAAGCATTAGCTGCATGATGCATCATTATAGCTGACCGCCTGACCCTAAATTTTGTTATACTGACTGATACCGATACTCTCCTTGTCATTCACCTTGCGTTTTCCTTTATTCAAAACGAGCAGTTTCTCCTTCAAATTCACCTAGACTGGGCAGTAGAGCTCAACCGGAGAAAGAACAATGGATATGCTACTGGGAACACATTCATTGATCTTCTTTGTTTTCTATCGATTTACTGAACATTCAAATACATGTCAGACTTTTGAATTGTATATCTTTTAATGATTACTGGTTGCTACTTTTGTTAATTTATTTTAACATTCCTATTTGGTTTACTTGCATATACAGGATTCTGCTTCTAGTCCAACTGGCTTCGGGGAAATTCTGGACTTTTTTTTCGTCCTATTTAGTTAAGTCATAAGTAAACTGGGATTCTACTGAACCCAGCTCACAGCTGAACGACCGGAACCTTATTTTGATCATAAGATGGAAACAACATAGCCACCTGGGTTGGAGTAGTAAACCTTATTTTGAGCATTCAACGTCCAAATGACGAAAGCAATGTCTTCCTGTTATTTTTCTCTAGTAATAATGAATGGGCCTTTTTTTTGTCTCAAGAACAATTCGATGATCTTTCTGAAAGTTATTGTTGTTCAAGGGTGTAGCGTTTGATCCTGTTGCCGGTTGGTTCCAAAGTTTTTAGTAGCTTCAGTTTATACATGCACCCTTTTGGAATTTTGTTATGCCGAGCCCTTGCAAGAGGTATTGTTCTGGGCTTTCCGCATGTTGTATGATGATGATTGTTTATACTAGCAAGTCAGGGTGACCATGACTCATACTATATTTGTGTTAAAGGCTGTTGTTATCTTGAAAAAGTCTCTAGTGACTTGCTTCAGTGTTGGGTTCTAAAGTTGAGTGATGCACCCTGGAAATGGTGGGTCGTAGCTCATTAAATTTCAAGTTCTGTACTCTTGAGTAATTATTTGTTAACGGGTAAAAGTAACTAAAAATGACTAAAAATTTAATGTTATTGATCATGAAATCTTGAAATTTTAGGCTCTGCGAAATTATTTTCCAATGGCTTGTAACGATTAAAAATGACTAAAAATCGTGGATTATAGTTCATAAAATCATGAATTTTAGACCTGCTAAACTATTTACGTAGCTTAAGAAATTGTGAATGTTAGTCTACGAAATTATTTGTCAATGAGTTGAAATGACTAAATATAGACAAAAATCATATGTTATAATTCATAAAATCGTTAATTTTTACTTTGCAAAATTATTAATTGATTGGTAGAACTGACAAACAAGGGTCAAAATTCATAGACTATAGCTCATAAAATCGTTAACTTTGTATGTTAAATTATTTGCTAGCAGAATGAAACAACTAAAAATGGTTAAAAATTATAGTTATAAGTCATGAAATCATGGAATTTCGGACTATACAAAATTATTTGTCAACGGGTCGAAAATACCAAAAATGGACAAAATCTGTAGGATATAAGTCATTAAATCGTAAATTTTGCACTTTACACAATTATTTGCTAATGGATAAAAAGACTAAAAATAGCAAACAATCTTAGGTTATAGCTCATGAAATTGTGGATTCCGTAAAATTATTTGCCAATGGGTCAGTACAATTGAAAATAGCAAAAAATCGTGATGAGTTCTAGGTCATAAAATCATGAATTTTGAAGTCCATGAAATTGCATGCCAATGGATCGGAACGATTAAAAATATCCAAAAATCATAAATTGTACTTCATGAAATTGTGAATTTTTATCTCTCTGAAATTATTTGCTAATAAGTAGAAATGACTAAAACTGGCGAAAAATCAAGGATTGTAGTTTATAAAATCATAAATTTTAGACTACATGAAATTATTTGTCAATGTGAAAGGAATAAAAATGGCTAAAAAACATGGGTTATAGCGCATGAAATCGTGAATTTCCGACTTCGCTAAATGTTTTGCCAATGAGTCAAAATGACTAAAATTGAACGAAAATCATAAGTTATAGCTCATGAAGTCATGAATGTGAGACTCTATATTATTTTTCAATGGATTGAAATGACCAAAAATCATGGGTTTAGCTATTAGAATTGTGAATTTTCGACTCTGCAAATTATTTGCCAAAATGTAGCAAAATCGAAAAATGACAAAGAATTATTGATTATAACTCATGAAATCGTGAATTTGGACTCAATGAAATTGTTTACCAACGAGTTTAAATGACTAAAAATAAACAAAAATCATGAATTATAGCTCACGAAATCATGAATATTGCTCGTCACAAATTATTTGCGAACAGGTCAAAATGATTACAAATGGCCACTAATCATGGGTTATAGTAGCTCTTGAAATCGTGAATTTTAGACTCCACGAAATTATTTACCAATGGGTCAAAACGACTAAAAATAGCCACTAATAGTGGTTTATTTCTCATGAAATGGTTAATTTGTATTGCGCAATATTATTGGTCTATGGATAGATATGATTATAAATAGTAAAAAATCATGGATTATAGCTTATAAAGTTGTTAAATTCGTACTTGACAATGGGATGAAACGAGTAAAGATGACCGGAAATTATGGATTGTAGCTCATGAAATCGTGAATTTTGAACTACGCAAAATTATTTATCGATGGATAGACATGACTAAAAATGAATAAAAATTTTGGGTTATAACTTATGAAATCGTGAATTTGTACTCCATGTTAATATTTGTCTATGGGTCAAAACGACTAAAAAACTAAAAATCATGTGTTATACCTCATGAAATTGTGAATTTTGTATCTTGCAAAATTATGTCTTGATGGGTAGAAACGACAAAAAATGGACAAAAATTATGGGTTATAGGTCATGAAATTATGAATTACACTGCGAAATTATTTACCAATGGGATGGAACGAATAAAAATTTATGGGTTATACATCATGAAATCGTGAATTTTGGATCTCATGAAATTTTTTGCCAATGAGTTGAAATTACTAAAATAGAATAAGAACCATGGGTTATAGCTCATGAAGTATAAGTTTTTTACTCTGTGAGATTTGTTATCAGTGGATCGAAACGACTAAAAATGGTAGAAAATTATGAATTATAACTCATAAAATCATGAATTTTAGACTTTGCAATATTATTTACCAATGGGGGAAAAATAGCTAAAATTTTACAAAATTTGCGTATCATTGTGAATTTTAAACTCCACCAAATTATTTGCCAATGAGTCGAAATGACTGAAAATGGTCAAAAAACATAGGTTATAACTCACAAAATCATTAATTTGTTACTTTACAATATTATTTGCCAATGCATAGAAATGATAAAAAATGGCCAAAATCATGGATTATAGATTGGAATCATTATTTTCAGACTCCATGAAATTATTTGTGGGTGGATACAGACAACTAAAAATGGATAAAAATCGTGGGTTATAACCCATGAAATTATGAATTTTGGATTCCGCAAAATTATTTGCCTAAGGAGGAATGACTAAAAATGGCCAAAAATCATGGATTGTAGCTCATGAAATCGTTAATTTTGTACTCCATGAAATTATTTGCCAATAGGATAAAACAACTAAACATAAATAAAAATCGTGGGCTATAGGTCGTGAAATCTTGAATTCTGGACTCCACAAATATATTTATCAAATAGGTTTAAATGACTAAAATGCCCAAAAATTATTGGTTATAGATCATGAAATCGTTAATTTTGAAATTTAAAATTATGTGCTCAAGGCTGAAACGACTAAAAAGTTATGAGTTACAGCTCATGAAATTGTGAATTTTAGGCTATCGGTCAATAGGTTGAAAGGACTAAAAATGAACAAAAATCATGGGTTATAGCTCATAAAATCGTGAATTTTGAACTTCACGAAATTATTTGCCAATGCATTGAAACGAATAAACATGAACTCTAATTGTGGGTTAGAGCTTACAAAATCGTTTATTCTGTACTCTACAAAATTATTTATTGATGTATCAAAATGGCTAAAAATCGTGGATTATATATAGCTCCTGAAATCGTTAAGTTTGTGCTCTAGAAAATCATTTAGCACTTGGTACAAACGACTAAATATGGCTAAAAAACATGAGTTATAGCTCATGAAACCGTAAATTTTAGACTCTGAGAAATTATTTATCAATTGATCAGAACAACTAAACATGGACAAAATCATGGGTTATAGCTCTTAAAATCTTAAATTGTAGACTCCATAAAATTATTTGCCAACAAGACAAAACACTAAAATGACCAAAAATCATATAGCTCATGAATAGTTAATTTCGTACTTCGCAAAGTTATTTACTAATGGATAGGAATAATTAAAATGACCAAAAATCATTGGTTATAGCTCATGAAATCGTAAAATTTGTACTCTCTGAAATTATTTCCTAACGGGTCAAAACGACTAAAAATGGTCAAAAATCATGGGACATAGCTCATAAAATCGTGAATTTTCGTTTCCGAGAAATTATTTGCATATTGATTGAAATGACTCAAAATGGACAAAAATGTGTGTTATAACTCATGAAATCGTAAATTTTGGACTCCCCAAAATTATTTACCATCAGGTTGAAACGAATAAAATTGGTCACAAATTATGCGTTATGGCTCATAAAATCGTTAATTTTATACTCCGTCGAATTATTTTGTCAATGGGTAGAAATGACTAAAAATAGCCAAAAATATAGATTATCACTCATAAAATCGTTAATTTTACACTATGCGAAATTATTTAACAATAAGTAGAAATGACTAAAAATGACAATAAATCATAAATTATAGCTCATAAAATCGTGAATTTTAAAGTTTGCGAAATTTTTTGCCAAAGCATCGAAACTACTACTAATAGCAAAAATCATGGGTTAAATATCTCATAAAATTGCAAATTTTAAAATCCACGAAATTATTTGAAAATGGGTTAAAATAACTAGAAATGACCAATAGACGTGGATTATAACACATGAAATCGTGAATTTTAAAAATTATTTGTTAATAGAATAAAATGAATAAAAATGGCTAAAAACCATCAATAATAATAATAACTCATGAAATCGTGAATTTTAAACTCTTGAATTTTTTAACTCTGCAAGATTTTTGCGCTCCACAAATTTTAAACTCTGCAAACTACGGGCTCCATGAAAATCACTAGGCAACGTGACCTTGTATTTACAATAAAATATGCTTGCATTTTTATTACTTAACAAAAACTACAAGATTTAAAACACAGCCTACACAACAATTGCATCGTCTAATTCTATAATGAATACTACTGTTATCATCCACTAGCACAAGCTGTACAGGCAATGTACGCAAGAGAATCTGACAAGAGGACAGAAAATCATAGGGGTAGGAAAGAGACAGCTACTAAAACACAGCCTACACAACAATAGCTCCACCATCAATTTGAGTTAAGTAAATCTGCACGCAATACCAAGACAAAACAGAATACTAGTACATACAATTTCTACCAATGCATTTGTATAAAACACACGACGTACAAGCAGCAATATGAGAAATCATATCTTTCATTTAGCCGGCACTCTTGTACTCTTGCAGCTACTAATATACACAAAGGTTGTTAAATATCCAAATCATCGTCTGGATCCTCATCAGAATCAGGGGCCTCATCATCTGAATCACGAATATAATGTATTTCACCCGTCCCCTTGGTCTCATTGTTTCTCTCTGCAGACAATGCAGAGAGATGCATTGAGTGAGGATCCTTGCCCTCGGAGAGGGATCGCCGACCATCATATATCTGCACAGTCTTTCGGTTTCCTAAATAAACGAACACAGTATTGTAGCACATATGGCAAAGCTTCGATCTCCAAATTAAATCAAAATTGCAAACGAATAAGGTTTCTTTATGTGAACCATAAGATTTTGCACCCGGACACCATATTTAAGCCTAATAAGAATCCATAAGCCATGCAACTCAAGTAATGTGGCCTAATCTTATGAGACTTCTGAACTTTTTCGTGCCCAGAGGCAAGAGGGATGAACTGGCACTCTAAAAAAATGTCTGAAAAGCGATGAAAATATTGTTCCCTAAATTTTTACTTTTTAAGGATGTGCATATAAATTTTAAGAGGATTTAATTGCCCTCGTGATATCTGTCTGGGAATGTTTGGAAAGTGATGTAAGCATATAATTTTTAAGAGGATTTACTTGTCCTGGGGAAGACTGTCTTTGAATGTTCAAATTCATAACGCTTACCTTGGTGTTCAAATGGAAGGACAACCTTTGCCCTGTCATCCTTTTCCTTTTCTGATAGCTGGAGATTAAATTGAACCTGTTGAAAAATATATATGGAAGTATGATAAACATATGCATGTTCATGAGATACACTTCGGTATTATTGTCTAAAAAAGCATTACACGTACCTTAGGTACAAGGCTTTGGTTGACCGCTGTATTTTCAGAAGATACAGCAGTGAACTTGATTCCACCTTGTTCCATATGAAAATCTTCATGCTGGAGTGTAATTCACATTGGGAAAATGTTTTCTTAGTGTGTTAATTTTTGCTAACAAATATAGCACAGAGAATAGGGCTTTGAGATCTTACGAGTAACTTAACCCTTCCGTTTCTCCGCTTAAGGCGTGCCTGAAACTTCCCTCTGTGAGAATTTTGTTCAAGCCCAAACAAGTTCTCTGGATTTTTTATTCCCTCAGTGACTTCCACTGTTGCCTCTAAACTAGCAACCATTGTGGAAATATACTCTAGAGCTGAGGATGCTCTGGGTTCATGAAGGTCCGAGTGTATTAACCAAAACATACATGAAACACGATCTGCAATGAGGAGATGGCGAGAAAAATTTAATAGCTTAAAGCTTGACAGGTGACAGTATGCAGACAGTGTATTTCACAGACAAGGCAAAAATAACAGGGATCCATCAAACAATATAACAATTATAGGCCTGCAAAATTATCTAGGGTGTCTTTAGTTGTTATCAATGTTATAGGAAGAGTGTATCCTCTCAATTTTGGTGTATCAAACAGTGGTTAAGTGGAATAGCAATGTATTGTTTGGGTACCTTTGCTTTTCCTAATGCATGATTATTTATAAATATAAACTAGTTGCTAACTTTCATTAGTCATTCTAAACGAGTGATACTTACTGAAAAACAATACCATGAATTAAGAAAAATCTATTAAGATTGTCGATGTTACTTCTTTTAGCATCAATCCTGAGATGTAGATGGATATACAAAAGCACATTATCCAAAAAAATAAATAAATCTTTTGACAGTGTGATAGTTGGAGCATGGGGATCCAATTACTAGCAATCAAACAGTAAGTTACCAACTTATAGATGAGAAGACATTTTCTTCATTTGAAGCACAATATGTGGAAAGGAGATTTTCTTTCCTTAAAACACAATATGCATATAATCAAATATGCACTCCGACAAACTAAACAAAAACGTTTTTTCCTGTCAAAGTTACAACAATGGAATGTTGATCATTGAAATAAAAAAATATTAGAATCATGATAAAAAGTCATAGCTATTTATTAAGTTACAAAGTTCATCTTAATTTCAGACTCCTAGTCCTCCCTACTGTGCGATTATCTCAACACCGTCATCCCAGCCAGACTTTCTTATGCGCTACCTCTTGAGCAATCTTCCTCAATCTAGTACACTGCGAACTGATTCAATTTCCACTCTAGTATCTCATCCCAGCTAGTCTTTCTTATCCAGTACCTCTCAAGGATCTTCAATTCTTCATCAATCTAGTACACTGTGTTTAATGTATCAAAAAAATTATCCTTAAATAGAAACTGCATTTCATATTTCATTGTTAAAATTGGACGGGGGTTTAATTCTCCTAATAGTAGAGACCCATACCAGAATTAAATTTGACTTTTATGTCTACATTTTAACTCTTAAATCTGTTGACATGTAACTGATCATACAAATTTAACACAATTATTATAACTTCTTATCATGCATGTTGCATGTCCATCATACTAGCAAACAACGAATAAGTTGTACATTCAGAAATATTGTACACTTAGGATCAAAATCTACCAGGAAATAAATAGCAATTGATTAATAGCATTCTGATGATAAACATAAACTGCAAAAATTAAGTGGAGCGGACAAAGAATGAGCATACCATGACTGCGAAGGGTGCTAATTAGAGATGCAACTGCTGACAAGGGAGAATGTCTTAGAATAACACTGACCTGAAATGAGTAACGAGTAAGATTATTGTAACTGCTGCTAGTGAAAATATTGATCATAGTCAATTATTAAACATAATCTTCATGCCTTATGCATAATAGTAAAATTTTCTATGTGGGTCAATAATTTATGATGCGGTCGAAATTGATTAAAATCATGGCTTGTATACCACAGAAATTCAGGAAATCAGGAGTATATATAAAATCTATGCCAGACGACAACAATTGGTTGAAAATGGCCAAAATCATATATTATAGTCCCATAGAAATTTGGGATTTTCGGAGTACACAAAAAATATTTTAAGAGAGACAAAAACTTTTGATTTGGTTGAAAACCACCAACATCGTTTGTAATAGTCTGCTAAATTTGGGAGCATGCAAAAAAATATCCTATGCCATCCGGCTAATGATTCGGTAGAAAATCCAATGTAATTTGTTATAGAACAAAAAATCCAAAATTTTGGAGCACAGAAATACAAAAATCATGGGTTAGTCCAAAGAATTCGAGAATTTTGGAATACCTATAATATATTCCATGTGAGGTGACAATTTGTTATTTGGTCGAAAACAGCTAAAATCATAGGTTATAGTCTACAAAGAGCGCACATAAAATATCATAAACGAGACGATAACTTATGATTTGATCGGAAACGGCTAAAATCATGGGTTATCGTCCACTAATATTTGAGAATTTTGGAGTACCCACAAAAAAATTCTATGTAGGACCACAATGTGATTTGGTCGAAAATAGTAAAAATTATGAGTTACAGTCCACAAAATTTCAAGAATTTGAGTATTGAAAAAATCTATGCGAGGCGACTTGTAATCCAATAAAAATGGCAAAAATCATAGGTTATAATTCACAAAAATTTTAAGTTAGCAATAAATATTCTATGTCGGATGACAACTTGTGATTTGGCTGAAATCGACAAAAATCATTTGTTATAACACACAATAACTCCAAAATTTGTAGCACTCACAAAATATTATATGCGGGATAATAATTTGTGATTAGGAAATTCAAGAATTTTGGAGTACGTATAATATATTTATGCTGGGTCACAATTTGTTATTTGGTCAAAAGTCAAAACAACAAAAACATATGGGTTATAGTCCTTAGAAAATTAGGATTAGGAATGCGCAAAAAATATTTCCTGCAAGACAACTTGTAATTAAATCAAAAGCGACAAAAACCATCAGTTATGGTCTACGAAAAAATCGATAATTTTAGTGTCCTCAAAAAATATTCTATGCGGGAAGATCAAATTGTGGGTTATAGTACACAGATGTTCAGAAATTTGGAGCATGCAAAATATATTTTATGCGTGACAACTTGTAATTTGGTCAAAAATAGTTAAAACCATGGGTTACAATCCACAAAAATTCAAGAAATTTTTAAGTACGCATAAAATGTTCTATTAGGGATGGCAACTATGATTTGCTTGAAAATGGCCAAATCATGAGTTATGACGGAAATTCAACTGACCACATAAAATGTTCTATGTAGACGATAACTTCTGAGTTGGCCTAAAATGGACAAAATCACGGGTTATACCATACATAAATGCAGTAATTTTAGATAACACAAAATACTCTATGCTAGAGGATAGTTTATGATTTGGTTAAAAATGACATTCATGAGTCATAGTACACAAAATTTCGTTTAGAGTACACATAATATGTTTTACTCGTGATGGCAATTAGTGATTTGGACGAAAATGGCAAAAAATCACGAATTAGTCAACAAAAATTATAGGATTTAAAAGAATCAAAAAAATATTTAATGACGGCAACTTATGATTTGGCCGAACCATAGAATTTCGAAATTCCGGAGTATGCATAAAATAATTTATGTGGACGACAACTTGTGATTTGTTTGAAAATTGTCAAATCATGGGTTATAGTGCACACAACAAAAAAAATTCAGTACGCCTAAAAGATTCTATGCGGGACGGTGACCAATGATTTGAGCCAAAATCATGACCTTACGACTTACATAATAATTTGAAAGTAGACAAAAGATTCTATGAGGGATTACAACTTGTGATTTAGTCGAAAACAACTCAAAATCATTGGTTATAATTAGAGGAAAATTAGGAATTTTTTAAGTATGCACAAAATAATTTATGCAGGTTAGCGACTTATGAGTGGTTTAAAACGCCAAAATAAAAGGTACCAATTTTATGAGTGGTATAATCCACAAAAATTCAAAAATTTTAAAGCACCCATAAAATATTCTATGCGGGAAAACAATTTGTGATTTGGGGCCTGTTCGTTTGCCTTAAAAAAATGGGAAATCAAAGAAATAGAAAAGTATTTCTAAGAAAAATGGGTTTTTGAATTGTTTGGTTGGCTAAAAAAAAGGAAATCAAAGAAATGAAGATGAGATGAGATGAGTTGTCACATTATTATTGGATGATGTGAGTGATTTTTTAAGAAAACTAGTTTTGATGTTGTTCGGTTGGCGAAAAAATTAAGGAAATGAATTATAAGAAACCTATTTCCTGTAGTTTTGTTGTTTTCTTTTGTTTGGTTCATTCTTAAAAATAAGAAATGAAATGAGATGAGATGAGTTGTCATTGTATTATTGGGTGATGTGAAGAAAGATTAAGAAAAGTGTTTTCACAACTTTTTTGGATGAAAACAAAGAAATGAAATGTTAATGAGATGAGGTGAATTGTTATAATATTTTATTCGATGATGTGAGTGATTTGAAATGATGAAAAGAGATGAGTTGAGTGATGTTTGGATAAAAATAATATTTTATTAGATGTGATGGATGAGTTGTTAGATGAAAATAATATTTTATTAGATGTGGTGGATGAGTTGTTAGATGAAAATAATATTTTATTAGATGTGATTGATGAGTGGTTAGATAAAAATAATATTTTATTAGATGATGTGGATGAGTTGTTGGATGAAAATAATATTTTATTGGATGTTGTGGGTGAGTTTTAGGGATGAAAATGGAAGAAATTGATTATTTTGAGATTTTCCACCTTTTCCATTTACATTTCTTGGTTTTTAGGAAATAAACGAACAGGCCCTTGGTCAAAAACGATAAAATCACAATAGTCTACAGAAATTCGGTAATTTTGAAGTACCGAGTATAATATTGGATATATGGTATCAATTTAGGATTTTACTAAAAACAATCAAAATCATGGGTTATAATTAACAGAAATTCAGGAATTTTTAACAATGCATAAAATATTCTATGTAGAACGTTGACTAGCAATTCTGTTGAAAATGGCCAAACTTATGGGTAATAGCCCACAAAAATCAGGAATTTTGGAGTATGCATAAATCATTCTATCTAGGAAGAACTCTTAAGATTTGATCCAAAATGGTAAAAATTATAGGTTAAAGGTTATAGTCCACGTAAATTTGAAAATTTAGAGTATGCGTAAAATATTTTATAAGGGACGAAATTTTTTATTTGGATGAAAATGGCCACAATCATAAGTGGAAGTATAGTAGTACGCAAAAACATGAGAATTTTGGATTATGCATAATATATTCTATGTGAGATGACATATATTCAGAAATTAGGAGTGTGCATAAAAATCATGGCTTATGATCCACATAAATTCAGAATTTAGAAGTATGCAAAAAAAAAAAAAAACTATGTGAGAAATGTGATTTAGTCAATAACCACCAAAATCATTGCTTAGTCCATAGAAATTCAACAACCAAAATCATTGCTTAGTCCATAGAAATTCATCAATCGCACACAAAAGGTATTCTATGAGGGAAGACAAATTGTGAAAATGACATTAATCATGGGTTATAGTCCATAAAATGTGTAGTTCAGAGTGCACAAAAATTATTCTTTGAGATAACTTTATGATTTGTTCAGAACCTAATAAAATCATAGGTTACTTATAGCTCATTGAAATTCATAAACTTTTAAGTACACAAAATATTCCATGCCAAACATCGGCATATGATTTGGTTGAAAATGGCTAAAATCATGAGTTATGATATATAAAAATTCCAAAAAATTGAAATGCTCACAAAACATTATGTGTGGGACGGGAATGAGTCTTGGTCGAAAATAGCCAGAATCATGGGTTATAATCAACAAACATTAGAGAAAGTGGGAATACCTGTAATATATTCTATGCAAGATGACAATTTACGGTTTGGTCGAAAACGTCCTATTATAGGTTGTCCTCAAAAAATTGGGGATTTGGGAGCACACATAAATATTCTAATCAAGACAACTCATAATTCGGTTGAAAATGGCCAAAATATGAGTTACGATCCACAAAAATTAGAGAAGTTTTGAGTATCCAAAAAATATTCCATGCACAAAGACAATTTGTAATATGGTCGAAAATAGCCAAAATTATGGGTTAAAGTCCATAGAAATTCGAAAATTTTAGATCATACAAAAAATGGTATAAAAGACGATGACATATTGATTTGGAAAAAAAACTAAAGTCATTAGTTATATTCCCCAAAAAATTCAAAATTTTTTAAGCAAACATAAAATATTCTATGCGAGATAGCAAATGTGGTTTGGTAAAAAACGACAAAAATCATGGGTAGTACACAGAATACGATTGCGTAAGGATAAAATATTCTATGTTGAACGACAATTATTGATTATGTGAAAACAGCCAAACAAGCAATAGTACACATAAATTGATGAATTTCAATGTAATATTCTATGCGGGATGACAATTAATGATTTAGTTGAAAACAGCCACAATCATGAATTATAGTACACACAATTTTAGAAAATTTTTGAGTATGCAAAATAAGTTCTATGCGGAAAGTCAATTTGTGATTTAGTTTGAAATGGCAAAAATAATAGGTTATAGTTCAAAAAAATTAATGAAATTAAGAGTAGGCATAAAATATACCATGTGAGACATGTGATTTAGTCCATAGAAATTTGAGAATTTCAGAGCACCCAAAAGATATTCTTTAATGGGAATTAATGTGATTGGTTGAAAATGGCCAAAATTATGGGTTACACTCCAATAAAATTTACG